TACATTAACTGTTTTAAGACTGTATGTTTTAAGCCAATTTTTTATTTGGCGGATTGAAGGACCATATGTTCGTCATCAACAAATAGGTTCATTTTTTGATTAGTTTGTGACTGTAAATCTTGTTTTATCTGTTTTTCACTCAATTAACTTTCGCAGTTTTGAAAAATATATCACATGGAGAGCCAGAGGTTTGGTCACCAGAGTTGGACGGGCTTGACCTAGTGACCCAGTTAGTCTACTGATCCAGCGACCCAACGCAATGCGTACAGTGATATTCATTTAGAAGTAGACAGGGATTTTCCTATGTCTAGTTTTAAATGACAAAAACCCTACTGAAGGACGCCTACTCTTATGCAACCAAGTTCTAAAACAAATGGAGATTTTGCTATCATATTAATTAATTGGAATATTATTGCTGGGCTTCCGTATTTTTTATTGTGAATTTGTATAGTGCCGGTAATAGTTTAAGGAGCGTAAGAGACTTATTTTCTGTGTTGATCATTTTAAAATGAGTGGTTATTGATCCACCCTCAATTTTAACGGAGGATTAAACTGAATGTTTTAATTTTTGTGGAAGAAAATCCCATAAGAAACTTAAAGGAAATGCCGGCCGAATTTAATATCTCTATTTACTGTCGTTTTTATTAAAATGTATAATGCCAATGCAAAATGCGTGCGCATGTTATTTCGGTTTTATAAAATTTCAGAAGGATTGTTTCGTTTAAAAATATACATAGGAAATCCCTATGTTTACTTCTAAATGAATCGCACTGTATATAGACAATAGAGATAGCTTTTTTCCAGCCACACAAATTACAGAATAATGTATATGGACATTAATACATTAAGGATCCAAGTATTATTTTGAGCAGTTTGATTTATTTCATAATCTCTACACTGACTCAAACTAGGTTATTGGATCAAACTGGGTAACTGGGTTAATCTGAGCAACTGAAGAGAGTATCAAGTGACTCAGTTTAACTCAATGATCCAGTTGACCCAGTGACCCTGTGATCTAGTCTAACTCTGTTGGTCACAGAAGGTACTTTTACCTGCTATTCTATTTCTCTTTTGTATGCTGAGATGCACTTGCGTGTTCCGTCCATGTGCCAGATCTATTTGTATGATTTGATTCCAATTAATGCGCCAAATAAACTCAGGTTGATACATTTCCCCGCCCACTAAAACAAATGTTTTATTGGAAAGGCTTATAAAATCCTTTTATTAGAGTACCATGAAGGACCATTTTCAAAAATAGACCTATTTCTTTTACAAACTGAAGCACTTCTGCTATGGGCATCACCTTTTTGCAAAAAAATGCGACTCTCTTAAATATATTACATATATTAAGTGAAATTGCTCATGATTGTTTTAGTGGACACTTCATGAATTCCTAAAAAATTGAGGGCAGTTACCACCCCTCTTTGACAAAACGTTTGAACCATAGAATCTAATTTTTCAACTAGAAACTTTATTACTTCCAAACGAAATACGCTTTCTAACTGAGTTAATACACAACGACCGAATCCTTAAGATGCTTTTTTTAATGTTTTATTTGTCAAGAAAACGATTTTTTTAAGAAAAAAAAACCCAATTCTCTCTTAAAAAGTCGGTTAGCTAGGTATAAGATGCAACCGAAATGTTCCTATAGATTTAAATTACCTGCATTGAACGGGTTACTTTCCTAGAATTATAGTCTCGCGATAAGGTAGCTGATTTTGATTGAGGTGTATCCTCTAAATAGATGAGCGGATAGATGATTGTAGGAATTTGTTCTTTTATACGATCGAAGGAGACTGAGAGTTGAATAAGTAATGCAAATTAATTAGGTCCTTCATGTAAATCTGTAGCTTACAGATTTGTTGGCAGTGCCGTCGGGTAATAGTCGTATTTCTTTGTTGTAGACGGAATAATTTCTTTGAAGTTATTTAAGTGCATCCTTCAATTCTCCGAAATAATGTGCTTATAGAGATAAAACAGAATTTTGTGCTTACTCACCCGTCACCGGTACAATATTGGCAACCCCTATTAATGTTACACTTTACATCTATGCGGAAAAGTATAATATTGATAAAAAGTCAAAAGTAGCGCAATATTAGGTATATCTGCGCCTTTTATAAACAATAGAGGGTAAACAGTAAAATTGCTCACATTGTAACACAACTTTCCAAATGGTTGAGCACGGCGGAAAAATTAGTACGGGAAAGTTATATGAAAATCTTTGATGTTGAGAAAAACAAAGTCATTTATCATCAAGCGGGATTTCAATTTATTTGCCCAAACAAGCAATAACGCAATTTTGAGTAATCACGATTTTTCGCAATAATTCATTTCATTTCTCAATCTGAATTAGAGCGCCCATCTACCGTTTACACATATTAGCAGCAATCTTCGCCAAAATCAAAAATTACCGCTTAATGGCAAAATGTGGACGCATACAAATTTCCTCAGAGTGGAACGTACACAGAAAGCTTCCCTTAATCGTAAAAAACGTGGGATCCAGCTAGTGATTAATGAACCATTTAATTAAACATTGGAGTGGTACTCCAATTACAGTCCAACGTTATTTTTGTTACGTAATTTTGCAAATGAATGAGCGATGCTTAAAAATGTATTCTTTCGTAAATTGATTGTGGCAATTCGGCAATACAATGAAAACGTCACGTTCGTGCCATCCAGACCGCTACCAAATGAATCTTTTAATTGAGTTGTCCAAAGCTTGCGTGACGCTAAACGCACATTTCATTTCGCGTATTTAATAACCGAATACTACCCCCAAGCAAAGAACGCTCGCCAGGTATCAATTTTTATTAAAATTTTATTGTAGCCTAAAAGAAATATAAAATAACGGTATTTACCATCGATTTTGAGCTTTAAGTGAGATACGTTCGCAGGTGGACGGTGATGTAGTAAAACGCGAAAGATTAAAATTTTACTACCCTGCTGAACACGAATTTAATGAATCACAACGGTAAAACTTATTGTCCTACCCTTCGACATCTCACCTTAACAGATCGTAATAGTCGCGAGGATAGGCTATCGATATATATGACGTATCGCGTAATAAATGTGTCAGTAGTTACATAGGCTTAGTTCACGGTAGTCATTTCAGGTAATATCAAATCGGCGTATTTTATTTATCGAGTTTCGCCAAGGCTGATCTATTAACCCAATCCACTATACATTTACAAACATAGATGCCCAAACTTGTTTACTTTCAAAAAGGAAAAACGAATTTAGATCACTCAGCAGCTGGGTTAACGAAACGTCTTTTTGGATCGGCCCATAATTTTATTAAAAAATTGCCCGATACAAATTTTATTCCGGTCATTTTCATGATTCAAGACCTCTCATTCTCTCGGTTACCCGCAACCTGAAACCGAATGCCTCTAATTCTACCGCCTGAATTAATCCCTACTCATCTTTTTAATTTACTAAACCACCCACAAAATGGTGCTAATTAAATCGGTCATCTTTAATCATGAACGAAACGGATTTGTTCAACCCCCCCAATCAAAAGCGCCCGAAACTCATTCATCAAATGCCCACGGTCGTTTAATTTTACAAATCCAGAGGTTCCCAAGGACATGCGTGCTACTAATTGGAATATTTTGGAAACGTAAACTCTATTATCTCTCTCTCTCTCTAGCTTCTTGATTTCATGTTAACTTCATGTTCCGACCATTATTGTTTGTTATCGATCGCCGATATATAATTTTGTATTGTCTGTCTGTCCGTCCGTCTGTCTGTCTGTCCGTGTGTACGATAACTTTGGGAAGAAACGTCGGATCGTTTTGAAAATGGATACGCATCTTCTCAAGGAAGGTCGCTATTGTTTTTCAGCTACGTAGACAAACCGGCCAAGAAATTACAGCCCAAAAACTGACCAAACCTCCAAAAAATGGGGTTCTGGTATCACTTTTGTTACGAAGAACATGAATGTCCGGGTTTTCTGTGTTAGTACATATTCCTTAAACCTCAAGCAACAACGCGGCCGAATTTATAAAATTTGCGCATGCGCAACCCAGCTTTGGCATTTGCGTAATCCAATTTTTTTGTTTATTAAGAGACTCAAATGAAATTTTTTGTAAATACGCAGTGCGGAACCCGAATAAAACTAAACCTGATACCAAATTAAAACATTTTTGTAATCGTTGTAAGGAAAATCTGTTTCGTAAACATTTTATTTGTAAACCCCTGTAAATCCCTACGTTAGATGTCGCCTGCTGCCATCCCATTCTTTATAAGTGAAACCCCTTCTGTTTGTGCTTCTCCCTGCCCCCTATAAAAGATTGAATTTGTATTTCTAGACCAGAGATCTGAATCATTTTTCCTTTCATTTTTTCCATTCATCAGTTAGATAAAACCCCCAACAGAAAATTTTGATTTTCTCCGAAACGAAAGACGCACAAAACTTGGATTGGCGCAAAAATGAATACAATATTTTGGAGATGTAGCAAATTGGGGTGCCGATTCAGGGGTGCTAACTTAAGACACCAACCATAGAATGAAGGAAAGCTTTTTCCCCTTTCATTCAAAAAATTAAGTGGTTGGTCGTTTTTTAACTTTCCGCTCATTAGTGGTGACGCCCCATAAATCCACCATCTGTTCCAGAAAATGGGCACATTGAAACTTGCCCTATTGTCAAAGAGAAATTCGAAACCTTATTGTATTCCAGTTGTGGGCCGTCACCAACATTTCTGAACTGCAGTCTCATTATTGGAAATTACAAACGATATCGAATTGTAATAAACAAATTCGTAATTGATAAACCGTTGGTACAATTCAATCACTTGAGCTATAGATAAAATACCACTGCGTATAAATATGTATACTGATTCATTTTTGTCTACATTATTGTTGCGAACAACACTTTTGATTACGAAGGAACGCATTGGCGTAGCATCGATTTTGCAAATTAATCGTTAAAGTAATAGTGACTTTCGCTGATATCTTGGTCAACAAGTAACTAAGATTATCGACAGTCTACGAATCTTACGTTTGGGCCGAGTTTCATATCATAAAGAAATATTTAGGAGACAGTGTTCTTGTTTTATAATTTGCTACGTCCATGGAAATCCATAGGTAGTGTACTCCGATCGCTTTTCTATCGGTTAAATTGGTTGCATTACTTTTCATTTGTTCCTTTGTGCGAAGTCGAACGTATTTGGTGTGACTGTAACCAAAAGTAAAAGAAATGGGTACGACGTCAAAAATATGTGGTGAGCGATCTATTGACTGATACATTAATTTACTAATTTCAAATCATCCCTGCAGTGGTGGTAATGCTTATGGTACTAATAGTAACGTCGCGAGTAGATGGTGCGGAAGACACCTACCACTTCCAAAAGTTCTACGATGAATGTAAGCATTTACTAGGATTTGTCCAACAAGTACCATGAACTTTTCTTTGATTCCAGATGAAGAGAGGTACATAGCTGCAAAAAAGGTTGTCGCGGTCGCCTACGTGATTTACGTGTTCCTTCTATGTAAAATTGGCATGGAACCGTAGACATGAAACCAAAATTTGTTCTTTTAAATTTTTTATGTGACACAATTATAGGTATAATTTAAATATTTTGGTTGGATTTGGAATTTGGTAGCAATTAGGTGCTGGTTAATTTAAGAAAGTAGAATTATTTGTAAACTGTAACCATATTTACTTCATAGTGAATTATAGTATTTTAGTCAGATCTCTACACCACGTTTTTTACAGTCAAAACTTTTTACGAGCTTTGGAAATGCTGCTATAGCACCGGATAATTAAATTGACAGTCGCTTTCTAAGTACCTACAATGTTTTACTTCCTTGTACGTTAAATTAGTGCTCGTTACTCTTTGCGAAATTAAAGTTCCCCGGACCGTCAAAATTCGTAACGCAAACATTGATTAACCGTACAACTAAATACATAATGGCACTGTAAGTGAAAGTTTGGATGCTGTGTGGTGTTTTAATAATACAATATGTGCTAACTGATTTTATTGGTAAGTAAAGTGTGTGCTGCGGCTTTATAACATTGGTACATTTTACTCTTTATCGTATGTCTTCATTGGAAGCAAAATATTCATTAATTAAATCTGAATCTGCCCTCCTTTCACAATTTAAACATTTATAAACGACGTTAAGAATTTCAATAGAAATGCTTGTAAGATTTATATTGGGCTTGTCGAAAATGGTTTTGCGTCCAATCCGGCATATCTTTGGAAATATGTCAGTGACAGACGTGAAAATTGTTGGTATAATTAAATCGATCCGAATACCTCAGTGGAACTGCGTTTTTTGTTTTTATATGTAAATCCGTAAACTATTTTTTTTTTGCAAAAGTGAAGAATTGAAGTTTGTAGCGGCGCGGCGGCGATACACGGAGAAAAATGTATGTTAAAGGTAATTAAAAATATAATAATAGCTATCAAAAAATATAATACGTATAGGGATAGCTATGAAGAATTATAAAAATTTTTTTACTATATATTGTTTTAACTCATACAAAAAAACTGTATGTAACGGCAACAATCTCATATGCATGCTTTTGTAATACGGGAGTAGTTGAATTAACATCTCCGCTTTGTATAATAAGTAACTTAGATTATTGCAACTAATTAATACACACACCCTGCCAAAAATCGACTGCACCAAAATTTCCCGGGAATTCTTATTAATTTTGGCGCGTAGAATCCAAAACAATTCGTACTTTTTCGATTAGACTTCTCAATCAAAAGTTATGGACTAGAAACCAATTTCGAAAGAAAGTTCAAAGGGCTGTAACTTTTGAACTAGTAGCCCAATCTTGGAACTGTTTGAAATTATGGATTCTACAGGCCACATTCTATAAGATAATTTTTTCCGGGTCGATCTGAGACAATTTTTTTTCGGAGCTCAAAAAAAGGCAGTGTATAACCTTCCTTTTTTACCAAAAATCGACTACACCAAAATTTCTCGGGAAAACACTTTTTCTTATTAATTTTGGTGCGTAGAATCCAAAACAATTCGTACTTTTTCGATCAGACTTCTCAATCAAAAGTTATAGACTAGAAACCAATTTCGAAAGAAAATTCAAAGGGCTGTAACTTTTGAACTAGTAGCCCAATCTTGGAACTGTTTGAAATTATGGATTCTACAGGCCACATTCTATAAGAAAATTTTTTTTCCGGGTCGATCTGAGACAATTTTTTTTTCGGGCTCAAAAAAAGGCAGTGTATAACCTTCCTTTTTTACCAAAAATCAGGATACACACATATTGGTTTCGAATATATAAAATTATAAGTTCAAAAATCATGATATATTTGCAACAATAAGGTATAATAATCAATATAATACAGTTTTGTTTTTATTGCCATATTGTATTGGCCCAACCCTCAAAATCTCTGGAACATCACTCATGATTATAAGTGGTATAGAATTCATCTATAAACTTCACCAAAATTGCGAGCCACATACACATACGCACTGAACTGACTGTCGACTGAACAAAAACCGCATACAATATACAATACAGAGCTTTTAATAATTTAATGCAACCTTTGCAACGGTTGTTCTCAAAATAAGCTTATGCTTATCTTGCAGATTCAGCATCATTACAATTACATCATATGTTAAAAATTATTATATGGGTTGTTAAACTAACAATCTTTCAACCGCAAGGTTTTCATTTAAGAATGCGTTATATACTAAACTGTATTATACACAAATAATAAACCCATTTCGTTAATAAACTATATTTTAATGTTTATTATCTATTTGCTCTTGGATATATTTAAATATCTAAGATCATATTTAATACAATATCATTTTTATAGTGAGAATAATTTTGATTAGACATATTCATATTGTACAGCGTGTGTCAAGGTTTGTTTGATTTAATTTAATTCTCGTACTGTCTACAATATAATTTTTACTATATGATTTTAACAATCCATTTTTCTCCGTGTACCGTGGTAAATAATAATACAATTATGAGCTCTTCAGAAGCCAGCTAGCGTTCGGCAGGCCTGGTCGTGGATAGTTCTGTGCAAAAAAACGATTAATCCGTCGATAATTATCGATTAATCGACGATGGATAAATTAACAAAAATGTATCGATTAATCGATAATTATCCGTAACTATATCGTTTAATCGATAATTAATTATTTGCAAAAAACTATTAATCGATAGCTTATCGATAATTATCGATTAATAGATGGTCGATAAATTAAAAAAATAGTCGACTAATCTATAATTTATCAAACATTATTGAAAGATTTATAGATTTTAAAGAATTTTCGTTGACAAATCGATAATCTACCGATCTTACATCAATTTATCGCAAAAGAGATAGGTAAGAACATTTCGGGGCTGGCAATGACACTGGTTGACGTGAATTAAATACTTAATTACCGTTGCTGTTAAAAACTAATAACTTTGAGGTTATTGAAGGACGTACCAAATTCATGAGGATTATCGTCCACTTGGTCACCTTCGATTTCAGAAGACTACGGAATGTTGAGAATATATTTATATCAATAAGTTTATGAAAAGGTATCCATATAGTTTTCTCTGGATAATTATCGTATTAGAAATCGACAATTTTTGACAGACGTCAATAATAATCGATTATTATCGACAGTTAACGATCATTATTGATTATTATCATAAGATTTCGATAATTATCGAATGCTATCGACAATTATCAAAAGTTATCCATAATTATCCAAAGTTATCAATAATTATCTAAAGTTATCGATTAACGATTAATCAATAATTATCGGACTAAACAGACTGATCAATAACAATTTCATTTATCGCCCAGCACTAGTCGTGAGTCGGGTTATTCTAATATGTATTTTTATTTTGTTGTGTAATCAAGTGGACAATTGATAATTGATTAAATTTTTTGGTCAATATGCCGGAAGTGATTTGATGTTAATTTTGTTTATTTGTTTGCATTATTGTGAAGTTGAGTTACGTGTGAAAAGATAAGGTTCTTCTTTATTATCATAAAGCTCGGCTTAGTTTTAAAAATTCGGTAGCTTTACCTCTAATGCATCAACACTTACATGGGAAGTTAAGTTGAATATAAATCTTGTCGGATACTTAAAAATTAACAGTGTAACCGTAGTATCTTAACGGGTTCCTTTCTTTTTTTAAAATGTAACGGATACAGAATGAGCTATTTAACAGTAAATTAACGGCGAATAGAAAACAATACAGACCAAACGTTTTACGCTAACCTTCTAAATATTCTTCTCCTGATACGCGCAGATATTAGTTTGAATTTGGTATGCCCTCAGAATGACATCATACAGGGAAAAGTACTTAGAAAGTGTTTTATGAAGGTGGAAAATGGTATGCGTGAGATAGTTTCCATTTAAAAATTTACACGACTTCAAAGTTACTAACGGCATAGAAAAGCAAAGGTGGAAAAATCTAAATCTTTACTGAACGATTCATCGTAAAAAAACGTTTCAGTTTATAAACTTGACTGAAATTGGTGTCAATAAATTTATATGTTCGCGTTGAATTATGTGATTCTAAAGGAAAACGAATTCGTTTACGGAGAGTAGCTGGAAAACAGAAATTTAACTTCGCGAAATGAAATTTTATGACGGAAGATTTGGCTCTCTTAGTGTGAATAATATTAGGATTTCCTGGCGGATTGTAAAGGGGAAAAGAAAAAGGTGTGCATGTATTAATAAATGTTGTTTACCGCTTTAACACAGCACATGAAACGGCTATTGACTAAGCAAACATGAGTAAGGTATGTCAAAGCGATGTCTTTTATTAATAAATTCAGAATAGGATGGAAGAGCTTTTGTAATCCCATTGCGATCATAACGTAGCGACGCTTTCTAGCTTTCTTGCATTACATAGATATCCTACGAATTGACCCTTGTAGAAACGACAAATTTAAAGAAGCGAAGCCGGCTTTCTGCATTGCTCTCGAATGATACCCGCCTGGGACAAAATGGGTACAAAGTCAACTCCTTCTGATTTATATATACACATTCTTTAAGGGAATATATATGACTTCATTGTTTAATAAAAGATCGTACAGCGAAATTTGGGTATTTGGTATATGTATATGGTTTGCTGGTGACATTTACTCCATTTTGAAATGTCTGCATCTATCAAGAGGCCCACCTTTCTATTTATTGATTATTGCTTCCTATTCTAGTTTTTCCAAATGTACAAATTTATAGACTTTTAATGAGTCTGCTTTTTTAATGGCTACAGATGATCGTGATTTTTTTGATTCTCTCATACGATATTCAATTGGAAATGAGCTATGCCTATGAGAATCACAACCCAAACTTTTACGTAATATCTGCAAGTACTTTACTAACTGCCCTATCCACCCTTCCAACAATCACTCTAGGTTGAATTTTTGATTTTAAGAGAAGAAAAGGACGGACAGACGACCAATGTCGTTAGCCCTTTGCGTCACACTCACCCCCACTTAAGGTTGCCGATGTCGGAGGAAACTGTTGACTGCCTGGGTGTCTTATTTGAATGCCGTAGTTCCTTACTATTTGTAAAGAAGGGTAATAATGATCAGGGGCGGACTGGGTAACTGCGGGCCAGGTGGAATTGCATAGGTTACGGGCCATTAAAGTATTAGTGTAGTAATGAAGGTGCCGGGGGGGTAGCTCTGAGGTGCACCACAAAAACATTTTAAAGTACTCCTTTCTCGAAAATCAATTACCATACAGTTTTTTTTTAAAT